CCCACAAAGACACACACACAAACACACACACACACACACACACACACACACACACACACACACACACACACACACACGAAAGGGAACTCACAATAGACAAAAAATGATTGCACCAAAGTCCAACTTGCTGAACCAATGAGTTTTTATTGGAGTAACTTAGAAGAGTATGGGTAAAAGGTTACTTGAAAAACCAGGGATAGCTCAAAAGAGCAACTTTATCACCAAAAATCCCACCCTGACATGGCTCATGACTTAGGAAAATTGCAACTCTGGAGTTCTTAGCACAGTTTTCAGGCAGTTCAGTGGTTTCTCCTCCACACCTTGGCTGGTCAGTCTCCTCCCCCAGAAGTTGTTTACTCCTATAAAACTGTTCCATTTCCCCAGAGGGGTGATGTTTTGTTTATCTCCTGGGTCTTATGAGCCTCCTTCCATCTCCTGGAAGGAAAGTTTGAATGAGTTGAAAACTGCCAGACGACGTGCAGCCACATCAGGTTTGCCCAATTCTAATTCATCTCCCTAAGTTCTTTCTTGCCTCCTCTCATTCCATATGTATGTTCTTTTCTCCACGGTACGATTCCTGGGTCTCAACAACATCAGTACATTATCCTGTCATATGTCTAAAATATTTTCAGAATTGATTTGCTCAGGGGCTGAGGATGTGGCCGAGCACATAAACAGTGCTCCCCTCAACTGCATTTTTTATGGTCATTATTCCTTTAAAATGTAGTGGCTTTAATTTGTTTTAGTTTGCCTTTAGTTAGGCCCATCTTTTCTGTTTTTTTTGTTTTTGGTGGTGATTTGAATTTAACTTGTTGAATTATATGTGTTTTTCAAATTTGAAGTTGGATTTATTGGTTTAATTTTAATGAAAAGTTCTTTAAAAGGGAAAATATGCAAAGAGTATACTCAGAGAATTATCCTTTTCTCTGGTATCCCTTTTACCTTTGTAAGTGACAAACTTTATTATTTTCTAGGTTGTCCATTGTTTCTGTAAATCCAGGAAAATAGTATGATTTATTATACATTTCCCTTGAAAATGCTATATAATACATATGGTTTTTCATAGAGTTTTTCAGTTGACTATATTGGAAATCATTCTCCACTAGCTCAGAGAGTATCCTCCTCAATCTTTTTTTTTTTTTTAAATAGCTACATGGTACTTCACTGTGAAGAATATTTGTAGCTGTTATTTTTTTTAAAAAAATTGGGACACCCTGTAGTTTCCTCTATGTGATAAAAGTTCTTCTGTTCTTTGTTGCTCATACTGTCCAATGATGATACACTTAGATCAAAGCTTTGTCGTGGCCCTTATCCTTTTTTTCACAAGTCATGTAATATCTCAACCAATTCGTGGTGCTATTTCTCTAGTACATCTTTTTGTTCCCGATTATGATTTTTGTTTCTTTGGTTGGTTTTTTGTTTGATGTATTGAGACAGCCTTGACTGAGCTTAGAAGTTGCTCTATAGACAAGGCTGACCTTGAACTCCTGATCCTCCTGCCTCTACATCTCAGGTGCTGGGTTTTCAGTTATATACCACCATCCCCAGTTTACATTTTGCTTTCTAGTTCTAATTTAGGCCTTTCTACCTATCTCAAATTAATTATAAATCTTTTGATAAAATCCCTTGTAAAATACAATGCTTTCTAATTTCTAATCTCACTAAATCCTTCATTAGAGCTGTATGAAAATGACTAAATTTGGTCCCCATTTTCTTTGTCCCTTCCTCCCCCTCTACTTGAAGAAAGTAGAATTGTGTTTTGAAATGGTATAGCAATTGAGAAACAGATAAGAGGAGACAGAAGCAAAAAAAAAAAAATCAAGAGAATAGAGCGTCAGCAATCATTTTACTGAAAGCTAGCCAAATACTTGCTTTTAACTACATATATTTCCCTCCGTTTAAGTTAATATTTGTAGTCTCAAGATTGTTTTTAAAAACAAAGCATTCTTGAGTCCCTTTGCCATGCTTGGGAAGAAAAAAAAATCTTTTGGACAATAATAAGATGGTGGACCACTTGGCCCCAGATGAATACCGGAATCAAGCGAGGAAGAGCTAAAATCATGTCCCATCAGAGCAAACAGATTGGGTCCTGCTTTGTCATGTCATCTTGACTTCTTTTTGAGTCCAGCGAATTAAGAAGTAAGGGTGCAGATGAGGTGGGAAAGCAGAGTGATATAGGTCTGAAATCTTACAGGGACAAAGGGTTATGTAGAGTCATTCATCCCCCCCCCACACCAGTGATGTAGTGCCCAGATCACTGGTGTAGGATACAAAGATCAGTGTTCTACTTAGAACACCATCTATGAGCATGGGCAAATCACTTTCCTTCCATCCTTGTTTGCCCTGTGAAATGAAGGACATTCATGCCTAGGTGGCCTTTCTGCTCTGAGTTTTCATGTTGCTGAGCTCTGTACAGGAACTTTTTGGTCCATGCAAGGCCAGACTGACTTCTCACAGAAACAGACTTCAGCAGTAAAGATCCAGAGAGTCCATAATTGTGAGGATTCTGCTATTTGGAATAGTGACCATTCTTGTGTTCTTTGGCAGAAAAATGATAAAAATTAGCTTTGATCAGTGGTTGCTAGGTGCCAGAAGCCTGGCACACGTCTAAGTGTATGGCAAATAAATAATGAAATCATAAGCGCTGGTTCATCTCATTGTATGTTTCAAGGCTCAGAAGAAAACAAAATGAATTCACGTGGGTGGGTTATAATAGATTTTCGGTGTTTTCCTTTTAATCCTGTTTTTTTTTTCCCTGTTGACTGATGCCTTTGTCTTCTCCACTTCACAGGCCTGTACAATTCAGTGGATAGCTGGATGATTGTGCCCAACATTAAACAGAACCATTACACAGTGCATGGACTCCAGAGTGGGACACGCTACATCTTTATTGTGAAAGCCATAAATCAAGCGGGCAGCCGGAACAGTGAACCCACCAGGCTAAAAACAAACAGTACGTTTTGGAGATTCTAGAAGGAAAGACCAGCTTTCCTCTCTGTGCCAGGGAGGACAGTTAGCCTGAGAGACTCCCCCATTATAATGTGTGAGAGCAGTGGCTCTGAGTGGAGGAGCTTTACTGTTATGCTTGGTCTATGGGATTTGTTGGTACCCATGGATGTTTGTGGCCTAAGATATATAGAATAGCTTGTGGCCTAGAAAGAAGTTAGGGAAGGGTTTTTCTCTGCCTTCCACCCCTGGGTCCTATGCTTGGGAGAAAAATTCAGTTAAAGAGTTGTTTCTTATGACGATCTACAAAGCTCTACCATAGAGAAGCCCTATCGGTTAGGAATGTTCTCGGTCACAACTGACACAGTTTAACAAGTATTTCCAAGTAGCTTAAGTTACTAGTTGTTTTAGTTAGTTTGTTTGTGTTTAAACATACATAGCAAGAAGTTTGAGGGCAGCCTGATCATGGCTAGTATAGCAGCTCTGAGATCTCATGGAAGGTTGGAGCTCCTTCTTTGTGCATTGGTTTACCCACAAGGTCGAAAGATGGCCAGTGCAACTGCTGATGTCATAGTTCCCTTACTAGGAAGAAGGGAAAAGTTGGTAATCTTTTAATTAGGAAACAGAAGCTTAACTGGAAATTTCTTCCAGTCTCTTTGACTTCAGTGTCCTTCTTATTAGCTGTCCCTAGCAGCAAGGAAGGCTGGAAGACTGAGTGAGAGAGAGAGAAAAAAATAAGTAATGGATACTGTATTAGCACACAGTGTCTGTTACAGAGGCATATTGTGTACTAAATCTCTTGCCCTAACCAGCACCGGGGGCCTGGGACAGTGTTTTTGGCATAGGGTTATGAGTTTCTGCAGCAAAGCACATGTTATCTTTCATCATCGACCATGGAGCAGTCACTGTAACAAAGTCGACTAATGACACGCACTCTCCAATTAGAAAGCCAACATCTCCGGTTGCTGAGCTCTTCTCAGTTTTTCTTTAGTGATCAATGGCCTCATTAACACAAGCTTTTCTACCTCAAACATTGCAACACTCTTTTAAAAAATCTACCCACATCCCCACCCACTCACTGAAATAAACCAAAGTACCAAACATATTTGAGGATGTGAGACTTTGAGTGGTCCCTTTTAGTTTCATAACATATGATGGGAATACTTTACTAGCTCCCATGTGCTTGGACTCTGGCTTCCAGCATAGCACTCATATGAGAGCCCCACATTTTTCACACAGATGGAAAATAATGCCTGAATGAAGGTTATTTTAGGGGAGGAATGACTTGTATTCTGACTTAATTGCAAAGTGTGCCATCTTGCCTGCTTCCTTAATATAATCCAAACTCCAGCTGACCTGCACTTAGCGAAGGATCACCGTCATGTTGAGGATCCTCTGCTAATGATGGTCCCGGAGGGAAAGGCACAGTTCTTAAATCCTTGATCATGCTTTCCCCCTTTCCTCTACTTTTTTTCAGGCCAACCCTTTAAACTAGATCCCAAAATGACTCACAAGAAGTTGAAGATCTCCAATGATGGATTGCAGATGGAGAAGGATGAAAGCTCTCTGAAGAAAAGCCATACCCCAGAGAGATTTAGTGGCACTGGGTGTTATGGGGCAGCAGGAAATATATTCATTGACAGTGGCTGCCACTACTGGGAGGTAGTCATGGGTTCTTCAACATGGTGAGTGGCTATTTTTTTCTTTCCTTGTCCCAGCTTCTCTGCTGTTAGGTTCCTAGGAGATTCAATTCTACCGCACAGCTAAAATACCAATAAGTCAAGGTTAAGAGATATATGATAGGCACCAGTGCTAGAAAACTTGGCCAGCTTTTAAAAGATAAAAATCATGGAAAATATAGTGGGCTAGGAGCTGAAGTGCTGTATCACTCTAATTGCTGGCTTTACAAGATCTGATGATAATTAGCATTATGCCTGTAAATATAAATGTTTTAAGGAAGAAGCACAGTGAGTCACTCGTAGGTCCTAAATAATGTCTAACACAACTCATATCATCCATAAATACTTTTCTGTCTTCTCCTCCACTGTCTCAGGTATGCAATTGGTATCGCCTACAAATCAGCTCCAAAGAATGAGTGGATTGGCAAGAATGCCTCTTCCTGGGTCTTCTCCCGATGCAACAGTAACTTCGTGGTGAGACATAACAACAAGGAAATGCTTGTGGATGTGCCCCCACAGCTGAAGCGTCTAGGTGTCCTCTTGGATTATGACAACAACATGCTGTCTTTCTATGACCCAGCTAACTCGCTCCATCTCCACACTTTTGATGTGACCTTCATTCTTCCAGTTTGTCCAACATTCACAATCTGGAACAAATCCCTCATGATCATGTCTGGCTTGCCTGCCCCAGATTTTATTGATTACCCTGAGCAGCAGGAATGCAACTGCAGGCCTAAAGAATCCCCCTATGTGTCTGGGATGAAAGCTTGCCATTAAATGGCAAGAGAGCATGTAATTTCAGCATTTCTCCCCCTCTTGAGCCTCCATTAGTGTTCCATATGTGAGATACAAAATACAGTTCATTGGAAGCACCCTAAATAACTAGATATTGTAGATTTAATTTTTTGTGCATTAAAGCTTATGTTTGGATTCATGTATTGAGTTACTCAGAACAAATGATCTGAATAGTCTGGGTTCATGACATTGGGGAAGAATTTTAGAGAATATCTCTGTCATCATTGGGAAATTAAAAATTCCCAGTGGTTTGAGAGTATAAATGAAATTGGAAAGAATTAGCCTTTCTAGCAGTGGCTAGGTGGACCAGATGGAATTTGCACAGTTTCAAATTATCATATTTGTCACTTTTTAATAAACTAACAATCAAGGTGTTATGAGAATATCATACATGTGTATATATAATATATAAAATGACTGAATTCATTTTATGAGCAAAATGGCATAGATCATTTTATCTATTACATATATACGATAAACCTTAATTTGTTCATTTAAGTGAGAGATATATTGAAAAGGAAAATGAATTATACTGTCCATTCTTATCCCCTAGATGAAACATCACAGTAGACTGGTGTTTTTCTCTTCTTACCTTTTAGCCTTTCTTCCCAGACCCCCTCCTGTCACACATAAAAACACATGCAATCAAGACACAGGGAGTAAGAAGAGCTCTTGGTTAGATTAGGAGAGCTCTGTGGACAAGATTGCTTAAGAGATGCTACTGCTACATTGAAAATTGATTCTGGTCTAGTGTGCTGTGTAGCATAATTTCATTGATATTATTTAATAGAGGAGATTTATTTGAATTATTAAAAATTGTCATAGAATATTTCAAAGAAATATAGTTTTGTTACTCTCAAATACATAGTTACTAGACTTACGCTAAAAAATAGAGTTGCATAATGGAGGTTCCTCAGAATTCGCCTTACTTGATCAGTAAGAATAGTGTTACAGGTTCAACAACTATATGAGTCCAAATGTACTTGTATTTTCAGATGAAGCTCTCCTGAAATGCTGTTTTCATCAATAGGATCAATACTCATTCTTGTGTGATTTTGTTTACATTATTCATTCACTTAGCATCCCCTTCATGACAACATAAATTCTATTCTACTTGTCATCACACTAGTTAACAGGAACCGAGGTTCATGGTTTGTGATTTCACCAATTATTTTTGCAGAGATTGGAAATGCCAGAGAAATAGAGCCTTATACCAGGAGCAAAGTCCATTCCTTGGTAGTTGTAAAATGATTACTATTATGTAGTTGTAAAGTGATAGTAGTAGTCATTGCCTGGATTGTATGAAGCCTTGCTGCAGTGTCAAGTGTTTCCCCTGCTTTCTACCAGCATGGTGGATTCTTATTTATTAATTTGTTCAATGAGCTATTAGATGCCACACTACTGCTGCAAGAGTGCACATATCACTAAAATGCAGTCCTTGCTGTTAAATGACTCACTCTTACTCACAAAAGACAACATATCTCTGTAAATCCCACCAAGTAACACATAGATTGTTTGCTTATCTACCATGAAAAGCGAGATCAGTGCTGAACAAAAGGAAGGCTCAGATTTACATGTCAAGTGACAGCATCAGTTTCTTTGGCTTTCAGTATCATCTGTACCTTACAGCTGACTCATCAGGGAATGAGCAACTTCAGTAAAGCTCAGAAGTGCTGTAACAAGCATGTGGTATTAGAAAGCTCCCAGCCTGGATTCCCAGATAGTCCTAGCTTCTCTGCCATTTACCTAGCAATGTGACCTCAGGAAAGTACTTTTCAGAGTCTGTTTCCACTTCTGTAAAATGATTCTTATTTTATAAGGCTGGAGCAAAGGTTTTAAAATGGAGTTGCCTAGCACAGCACCTGGCATTCACTCTATGTGCCACCAACATTCCTTTCTTCTCCAACACCATTCATTTATTTTTTGTATCCTTTGAAGTTTTAGTTCTAGGAAAAAAGCTTTAGTCCCCATTCTACTTTTGACTGCACCCTGGGACTACCTTTCCCTTCTTCTCTCAGTTATCTAGTGACCTCTCAAACTGGCTTATGTGGCCCTCTGTGGCACTCCCTGAGCACACTGAACACCCCGTCTCAGCAATAATCACATTGTATGGTAGTATTTCTTAGAATGTCATTTTCAGAATGCCGTCCTCAGAAGGCCCATTTTAGAGCCACCCTTAGTGATTTGTTCTTTAAAACAATTGATACTTGGCCCCTAATCCTGATCCACTAAATTAGACTATCTGGGGACATAAACTTACATTTGTGACAAGCTTCTCAGGTGATTCTGATTCACACAAAAGTTTAATGTATAATTATTCTCTTCCTGACTAGAGTGGGAATACCTTGAGGGTAAGGACTGTGACTTTTGTTACTGTTGTATTTTTAATGCCCAGCACAGTGTCTAGAGCAAAGTAGTTGCCTGGCTAATGTTTGTTGAAAGAATGTATGACTGAACAAATGAATAATCAAAATTGCTCTGTTTGACTATGATGTCCATTAGTGGTATTTGTTATTCTTGGACAAGCTGGTTACTTATTTAGTCTGTATTGATATTAGTTTCTAAATGTATCAGGGCTTATACATACAAATGAACACTGTTCCAAATTGGCAGTTATCATAAAGAATTGTCTTTGGAGCATGTGGTACCATTCTCCCAATAACATTTCATGTTTTCATGAACTTCAGTGAACTTTGTTGTTCTTTGAAGGTGGATTTAAGTTTTCATTATAGGCAGAGATAAGCCTACTGAAATAGGCTACTGAAATATAAACTGGGAAATTAAATAGGGTTTGTGGTAAGCAATGAAGCTTGCCCCTGAAATCCCAACTTCTGAGGCACATAATTGAAATGCTTTCCAAGGAACAACATGGTGGCAAATCACTCAGAGGGCTATGATGGGTTCCAGATATTTGCTTCAGTAAACTTAAGGACTTTCATAAAATACTGGCAATGGCAGGGACCAGAGGCTACCACTAGCTAAAGCCAGTTGCACAAATGGAACATGACCTACATTTACCATCATCAAGAAATGTGATTCAATAAATGTGGTTGTTGTTGCTTTACTCGATCTAACTATTCAGAACTTTTTTCTCCTAGAAAATTATTTTCTGTCTGCAATTTATGCTTGTTTCCACTTTTTATATTGTCTTGTTGAAGAAAGCACAAAATAAAGCTAAGCTTGTTTTGAGAATACGAAAGAAAATTTAATGCCACATTGATGTTCTTGCTACTTGTAAGAGTAACTGCATCTGGCTGTGTTTTATTATGTAATTCCATTGTGTGTCTTTGGATGCAGTGAAGTTCATATTGCAACAAAATCACTTATATATGCTTTTCAGCTCAAGCATTCTAGGTGAATTTTCTCAGCTTACATGGTTTACATATTTGTATATGACTACCTGGATGGATCAATTTATGGATGGACTTTTAAATAAGCTCAGTTGCTGAAATCCCTTCTTTCAAGGAATGGAGAATGTGAGGCAGGTAGACATGAACTACTCCCACAATTATTTGTAGCTCCTTAAGCCAATTCCAGCCTGAGAGTCATTGGGCTGTATTTGGCTGCGCATTACAAGTTGGCCAGATTTATTGCCATCAGGTTAGGCAAAACTGCCTTTTATGATGTGGTCTGCCAGCTTCAGAAATATGCTGTGTTATTGTTATTGGCTAGAATATTTATTAGACTATTGTTGGACTATTTTTTATCAAATGCTTTACCCCAGGCTTGTTTGTACTGGGAGCTCTGGACTAATAGTGTCTCTCCTAGTGACAGAAATACGAGCATCTGTGGATTACACAGTCTCACCCCTCTCTAAAGATCCCAACCCATCCAAAATGCTATATTATGAATTAAATAAATATATATGTATTCATGAGTTGTTGATTGTCTCTCATTGGAATTTATTTGGGGAAAGCACTAAATGGAAGATGAGTTGCCAGAATTGGGTAAGTGGCTCAGGGAGTGGTGTGTGTGTGTGTGTGTGTGTGTGTGTGTGTGTGTGTGTGTGTGCATGCGTGCACCAGCAATAATATAGAGATCTCATCAAGTAAAGATCTAGGATGTTCTAAATTTTCGGTCCAATCATGAAGACTTTGGTTTTAGGATAAGGATATAGTCAAAATATCTAAAGAAATGAAGGTCGAAGGTCCAAGAGAATGTGATCCATCTAGCTTCAGATATTGTGGCAGAAGGCAGGAATTAAAGAACAGTTAACATCC